CCATCCCTGGAAGTGTTCAAGGCCAGGCTGGATGAGGCTTTGAGCAACCTGGTCTGGTGGAAGGTGTCCCTGCCCATGGCAGGGGGGTTGGAACTGGATGATCTTAAAGTCCCTTCCAACCTAAACCATTCTAGGATTCTATGATCTGGTCTCTGCTTGCGTAGGGTGGGATGGGTCTTGTTTGTAGCACTGTTCTGGAGCGAGTGCCACTCAGTTAAGGGGAAGGAAAGCCCACAACTTAAAAGGTGCTGGTGAAGAAAATCTGATTGAAAGGAACAGCCGAAGGAATATAGCATCATGGATCTTGAAATATATTTGGCCAAGTAGACTTAAGCTGAGATCTTCAGTTCTTTTGTACATAAACTTGATGCCCAGTTCTGCCCAAGATCCCTGTATGAGTAACAGAGAAGGCTAGAGTATTTTGAGATTTTTTTTTAGATTTTTGGCCAAAGTTCAGGCATCCAATTAGGTAGACAAGACCTCTCTAGGCTTTTAAATATGCCCAGCTCTCCTTGACAGCTACACAGAACCACTGGACCCCTGCTTTGGGAGCTCCAGTTACATTTGAAGACATTCGCTTGAAGGCATCACACGTATTAATGGACTTGACTCTACCCTCAATTTTTTTATGTGTTTCTTCATGGGAAATAGTGTCTTGTACAAGCTGGACCTGTCAGGCTGAGATAAATACACCCCATTTTTCTACTTGACCACAGTCAATTATCATAGAAAAATCAATTGTTTTACTTTCCAGCTAATCCACAGCCTCACTATTTAGTATGATACAAGGCCACATTAGACAATGAAAATTGAAGCTAAGTGATCCAACTTTAAAATCAATTTTCAATTATATATAGGAGAGTTAGATATTTATTTGCTTTCCATATGAGACATGAGAGGTTCCCAGAAACTGTCAGTTGGAAATTGCAATAGGTCAAGAAAATTACATAATAAATAATAAGCCAATGCGTTGAGCAAGAAAGCATAAACTTATTTTTTTTATTAGATCACATGCTGTGTAACAGCACACAGACAGGTCTGTTTCCCTCAAACACTGACACACAAGTAACTTTACACATGTAAATAGTCTCACTGAATTTTCTCATGTGTCTGTGTGGACTTCTCTGTAGGGGTTGAAAATAAGTCTTAATATTATATTTTATTTAGAAAAGTTTCATAATAAGCAAAAAGTCAGACTAGATAATCCATCAGTGTTTTTATGTTTAAAATCTTTGAGCTTGTAGGTAGTTTGATACTTTGAAATTGGTTATTTTGTTTTGGTTGGTTTTGGGGTTTTTTGGTTGGTTGGTTGTTTTTTCAAAAAAAGTAAAGTAAAAGCTCAAAGTCAAAAAAAAAAAAAAAGTGGCTCCAAACAACTAAACGACACATACTAAGAGTGACAATAACACTGACTTGTAAAATAATATTTTCATGTTACAAACAGAACACATTATATCTATAATATATTTCATAGTTGCATCTGTACCTGAAATGTCTGGAGAAATCTTAGAATAGCTAGGTGGAGTTACTGAATTTAACGGTGGAATGTAGCTAGCTGAAATGCATGAACTATATACTTAAACAGGATTATTTTCTTCTCTTAATCTTCAGTTTATTTTCCTTGCAAAATATCTGTATCAAAATTCCAAAGGTTGGCTACTGTCATGATATCCTGATTTTATCTTCTATAGCCCAATAAAAAAAAAAAAAACACTTTACCATTACTTTTAGATCATTCTACAAATATTTTCTTAATTTTAGCAACAGGAAAGAAATTAAAGTCTCCTAATGAATGCAAGTTAATATGTTCTCTGCTAGCAGAATGAAAGAAAACCTCCCAGGAGTACAAAATTAAGTACTACATAAGAGTAGGACAGATAAGGTATCACTTTAAAGAGTAGCTGGAAATTGATTTCTGATTAAAACAAAACATTAGAAACCACAAAGGTCCCTTTCAGATCAAGAGCAGAGTAATTTCTAAAAGTAACATTTTTTTATTCCTACAAACCTGTATTTCTGCTATAAGAAAGGAATCAAAAAGGAAAAAATAATTTAAAAAAATATTATTTACATACATAAATTGACAAATGCATGATACATATATATCATTCTATGTATATATAAATAATACCTAGACTCACTTCTAAGAGTTTCCTTCCAGCTGCTATCTGTCATGAATTAACAATACTAGTTACAAGTGAATATTTTCCTCATCTTCCTGTATCTATCATTTTTTTTCCAATTTTCTTCCTAGGCTAACACAGACTACAAATCCTTAGGGGAAGTGGTGCCTCAAAAATGAAACACTGACATCCAATTCCAAAGAAACTGTTGTACAAAATTAAAGCTTTTGAAGAATCATTTCTAATGAAGTTACTAAGTCTGGTATGGTGCAGGGCTTTACAAAAAGAGTGGAAAAATGTTATATATTGTCACAATACAAAAGTAAAGGAATACAAGATACCTAAGAAAATTACAGGCCTATTGGCCTTACTTCATCTGTTTGTAAGGCTTCAAAACAAATTTTTACTCAAGGAAGGAATAACTGTCCAATTAAAATACAGTATGGTACAAAAGAGAATATAAATAGGTAAAGAGCCATTATCCTACCCTAATATTGTACTTTAACACCATAGCTGAATTACAAACCACTTTAATGTGGTAGAGCTCCTCTTTGTCAGGGTTCCAATTAGGTATTTCAAGAGCTCCCACATGGAAACTGATTAGCTCAGCTGGCAAAAATA